CCATCCATCCATCCATCCATCCATCCATCCATCCATCCATCCATCAATCAATCCATCCATCCATCCATCCATCCATCATTTTTACCCGCTTCTTCCTTTTTGGGTCATTGGGTCACTGGTGTCCATGTCCAGCAGTCGTGCGAGAGGTGGAGGACACCATGGACAGGTCTCCAGTCCATCACAGGGGCAGCCGGCCTGGGACCCCAAAGTCCCAGGTTCGATCCCCAGTCACTGCACATCACGTGGCGTCTCTGGGCAGCACGTCTCATCCCCAAAATGTCCCCCGGGCGCTTTCAATAGCTGCCCACTGCACCACCTGGTGGTGGATGGGTTAAATGCAGAGACTAATTTCGCCATTGTATGGAAACATACAGTGCTGACATTGTGATGACATTATTATTATTATTATTATTATTATTATTATTATATAGAGACAAACAAGACAAACAATCGTTCACTCTCTCTCTCACACCTAGAGACAATTAAGAGTTACCAATCAGCCTAACATGCATGTTTTTGGTCTGTGGGAGGAAACCGGAGTACTCGGAGAAAACCCATGCATCCGCAGAGAGAACATGCAAACTCCACCCAGAATGGCCCCCAGTCAGGATTTTATCCGGCGACTATCTTATGTGTTTGAACATGGGCTTATGAGCTACTGTGCCAAGGTAGAAATGTGTCTTTTACCAATAACTTAGTAAATCTGCTAAAAATCAGATGTCCCAGCGTTTCACCAGCCTTGAACGCAGCATTTTCTTTGTGAGTCTGGAGCGGTAAGTCTTAATAATCCTACATGTGAAGTTTGAATTGTGTACATTTGAAAAAAAAAAAAAACCTTCTGTATTTGTGTATCTTATTGTACGCATGCAAAACCTGCTCACTTGTGACTACTTTTGAGACTAATTCATCTCCGCAGTAATGCTTCTGACGTTTGTGAGTCTCTTGTGTGTGTTGGAGCCTCACCAGTAAAGAAAAGCACAAATGATCCCAACCGTCAGCAGCAGCTGAATCATCAAGGTCAGGTAGACTTTCCTTATAAAACCTGTTGGGTGAAACAATAAAGCAAACAACATAAATAAAATATGTAGAGGCACAAAGAAGACGAACAGCGCTGGACGACAGGAGCATTTATCAAACCTGCATCCATCCTCTCGTTCCAAGTGATGGAGGTTGGAGCAGGAAGATCTGAAGAGAGAACACTCGTTACTGCGGCGGCGTTCGGCTCTCACCTTTCTGTACGGCATCATCACTGAACACGCCGTCCTCCGATTCGTACTGCGATCCAGATGTGTACGATGGGGGGGATGGATCGTAGCCCTGATGGTCTCCAAACACTGCCGGGTGCTCAGGGTGAACCGTGTTGCTATAATAGCCAGGAGGGGCGACAACAGCAATGTTGCCTTTCCCTACCTACGAACACAACATCCGACACACACAGAGCATGCCGCACTCCGGTTTTAAACAACAAATTGTTCTTTTGTTAGTAAATCATAAATCTTTGCGTATTAATACGTGTGCAAATGGTGCTCATGTGGTTTTCATGCTGATCTCATGATGTTTATAATGATGTTTTGATGGTGGCTTGTGTCGTTAACGCTCACTTCAAATGAAAAAAATTATTTTTGCCTCATTTCATTGTTTCTTTGGGGAATGTGATAAATGCTACCAACCTGATACACTGTTCCTGTGTAGGGCTGTTCTTCACTGTGGGGGCTGTATGGTGGAGGGGGGGGCACATCTTCCCCGCTAGAGCTGCCACCCGTTTGATCCATGTGACCAAACCTCGTCTTCAACCGGGGCACCAAACTAAGAGAAGGAAGTAAGCTGAGGTGAGGCCCACAAGCGTCCTCGTGCACTTTCGTCAAGCGGCGTTAAACTAAATGGAGCGGTGTCGGTGGGGAATAAATAAATGGGTAATTACAAAACGACGCGTCACACAAACACAGCCATCCATGACTAACATCTATAATTATGGCCCTAAACCTCAACTTAATAGAGCTGTATGTACATTTAACAGCCAGATAGATTGCGGTTCAAAGATCTCTGAGGAAATTCAGCTGATGTCACGAAAGACAGGCAGATGGGGGAAAAAATACATGCGCGTCTAAAGAGTCCAATTAATATAAAGTGAAGCAATAAAACAAACTCTCTAATGAATCGTTTGAGGCATGAAGTCATAATTGGCTCTTCAGTGATCAATGCTTTGTGATGTAAAGTCTAGAGCACAGGATACATTTAAAAACATCATTTAATAAACAAATCTGTCTGTATACGCTCGCGAGTGACAACATTCATCTCCGGTAAAGTCACTAATTGGTACTTTTATCGTCTGGTGACGGTGAACGACCCTCTAAGTTTTGTTTTCTACAACCCAAACACATTGAAGTCTAAAAGTGAAAGTGCCAACACTCCAACATGAAGTGGACTTTGTTCTCTTAAAAAGCTCAAACAGACGAACACTATCGCCACAGAAGAGCTTTTTGAAAGTGAAGTGTTCAGAAAGTTGAGTCTTTTGAGCAGAAAATTCTGGTTTAAGCTGCGGTTCATTTGAAGACACCTCTTACCTCTTGCTGTGACGGTCAGGGATTTGCTCTACTTCCTGCTGTGTCGGTTCCCCTTCAGGGCAAAGTTTACCTGCTATCACTTGGTTACAGCGGAAACCGAACTTTAGCTCCAGAGACAAGGGATGTACACTATTTTAAAGACTTTACGGTATATTCTGATCAAATATATATTAAAGCAAAGATCCTGATGGAGTGGGCTCATTTATCAGCCATGCTTGTCTCACTTTTTCACAAATTATGTTTCATAATAAAATAATCTGTCTTGTTGTGTAAGTTTGAAACTGTTCATTCTCACGAATGAGATGAAATCCTTCGAGTCAGATGTCCTCTCTGGCTCATCTTGGCTACACACAGAAACCACCTGCTTTCACAAAGAGATACTCACACTGTAGTGTACACCAAGAACACGTGGAATAATCCATGAGCAAGGCACTCAACCCCCACCATCTGCTTCCCCGGGCACCCTAGACAGCAGCTCTCTGCTCCATTCTGTGGTAGCTCAGTGGTCTGTGGTTGTGTCAGGAAGGACTTCATGTGAGTTACTTCACTGTGGTGACCCCTGAAGAAGGGAGCAGCCGAAAGAAGAAAACACACACAAAGTAACATAAATTAACATGTAGAGTAAAAAAAATACACTGTAAATGACATTCCAGCTTCATGTGCTCAACAGATCTGACATTTCACAGTTGAATTGTTGATGTACTTCATATAACTGTGTTGGCAGTAATTTATTTATTAACCTTTATTTAACCAGGCAAATCCCACTGAGATCACAGATCTCTTTTGCAAGGTAGACCTGAGCCTGAAGGCAGACTGACATGCATGTTCTTGTTTTTTATTTTGGTTTGTTGGAGGAAACTGGAGTACCCGAAGAAAACCCATGCAACCATGAGAAGAACATGCAAACTCCACACAGAAAGACCCCAGGTCCAACCGGGGATCGAGCCCAGGACCTTCTTGCTGTGAGGCAACAGTGCTAACCACTGAGCCACCATGCTGCCAATTGAACTAGCATTAGCAGCATTAACATGAGTAAAATTAGCATTAACAGCAGCAGCAGTCTACAGCAGTAATCATGTTATTGTTTAGTTATTATATTTTTTTCTATTTACTTTTAATTTTATATACTTTTATATGATTGTCCATTGTTGTGTGTACCACATCATTCTTAAAACAGGTCTCTCTTGTAAATGAGTCCTCGAGGCTCAGTGAGACTAACTTGCATAAATAAAGGTTGAATGAATGACACCAATTTAAAAAAAGTGTAAAGGACACAAAAGTTGTTTTTTTCCATTTACCATTTATTTATACAGGTAGTTTCATTGAGCCACGAGAACTCATTTTCAAGAGAGACCTGTTTAGGGAGCAGATGGTGGGTTAAGGGCCTTGCTCATGGGCACAGAGTGGGGCGAATGAGGGTGGGGGCAAGTGTGGGTGCTTCACCTACCCCGCCCACATTTTTGATGTTGTCGTTACCGGGGCGTGAACCGGCGATCTTCCGATCACAGGCCCACCTCTCAACCACCTCTCGGACACAAAAGTTACATGCGATTGAAACATTTTAGACTTTGTTGGAGGCAAACATCACTGCCAGTCAGTGCACACCCAGAGCTGCTTCTATTCATCCATCAGACACTGGGGGGCACTGGTCTTCTGCGCTTCCTCCACTAATTGCAGTCATTTGATTGTGACTCGGGCCCCTCTCATGCTGTCACCTCCCCACCCAGCCAGCAGCTTCAAATCCCCCAGAGAGCTCTCTTTAAAGCTGGCAGCCTCTTCATCTTATCTGCCGGATCAAATCCTTCATTTCTGTCGCCAACATGTGATATTTGTGTTGCTTTCAAAGTGCTGCGGAATTATTTAGAAAGCAATAAATGCAAAACATAAAGCAGGAAACAAAATGAGGGCTGAGCAGCACGAGTGTCGTTTGTGCATCAAACACAGACTGCTCTGTTCTCCGCTGATTGGTGTGTCAGTCAACACAGGCTGGATTTACAACGGCTGCTCAAATCTGATGAGCCTGCTCCCACCTAGGCTTCATTTCTGCTCTGGATTTGAATGGGCAGCACAACAAATGGGTCTCATTCGAGCAGGCAGCTGTGTTGACATTCCAATCAGGGTGAAACCAGATTTCAAACGGATCAGATTACCCTCCAAAGCAGAGCACCGCATCAGGGCTCATGATGTGTGAAGAGCAGAGAGATGCTATCTTTCTATGTGGAAGATAAAAGTCAGAGAGCAGAGACACAGTCCTGTGTCTCCAGCATTAATTGACAGCTCTGTTTTGTCGGCCATGATGCTCTTCGGGGCTTTGGGGACGCTGGACCACAGAGGGGAATGTTTTGGTGTCACCGGAGAAGAAGAGATGTAGCCATCATGAGAGTCTCTCTTTCTGCTTCCGCATGCGGGGGTGAGTTACTGCTCCTCGGCTGGCCGGGCCTCAGAAGGATTTATTTGAAGAATTGAAATTGTAGTTTGTGTGGCCTCAGAGAGCTCCAGCTCTGGTCTGGGGGATTTGAGCTACAAGACGCTCCCTCATTTCTAATTTACAGCCCTTCTGGAGCTGCTAATGCAGAGCTGGTGCAGGATGTATGGCTGATGAGAAAAGTCCTCGGATGGCTCACACAACACAGAGGGACTGCATTAGTCACTGTAAATAACCTGCACTGTGTTACATTTAATAACAGTGGAGTCAGGAATGATATTTTTGGAGGAAAAAAAAACCAACAACTGAATATAAACCCTCTCAGAATTGCACTTGTTTAAAATGACTTATATTATCTTGTTAAGCAAATGAGCGAGATGCAATTAAAAAAAAACACAGCTGAAGTTAAACTAAATGGTCATAATTAAGTGAATAAATGTCTGTTATCCATCGTTGTTTTAATGCATGACTTCAGCAACAAGCACTGATCTCCAGATGAATTTATCCTTATTAGAGTCAGAGTTTACATTAGCTGGCTCTACCATGAACTCAATGCTACGGCATTAAAAATAATCCCAGAGGAGCTTTTGGCTAAACATATTTAACACAAAGCTTATTTGATTATTATCAGCTGGGCTGCAAAACTGTACACAATTTAAATACTCGTGACATCATCAACCCTCTAATGATGAACTAGTGTCTGAAATAGTTGAACTCATGCAAGAGTTGAATAATTACTATCTGCTGAGATATTCAGCTAATTGTGGCACACTGCTGCTTGGCATAGACCGTGGGAAGTGAGGGTGTGCAAGGTGCTGCAGCACCCCCTGATAGATGCCAGATGACACATGCACCCAAATACACAATTAATGAACCATCTATCCATTTTCTTTACTCAATTTTTCCTTTTCGGGTCTCAGAGGTCACTGGTGCTTATGTCCAGCAATCACTGTGCAAGAAGCGGGGGACACCCTGGACAGGTCTTCAGTCCATCACAGGGACACATAGAGACAAACAAGACAAACAACCATTCACTCTCTCACTCACACCTAGGGACAATTTAGAGTTACCAATCAGCCTAACATGCTTGTTTTTAGTCTGTTGGAGAAAACCCACGCATGCACCGAGAGAACATGCAAACTCCATCCAGAAATGAAATTCAATTCAAAAATACGTTATTAACCCCAAAAGAAAATTAAATGTTGTAGCTCATCATCCTGGTTTCATTAATGTTGTTCTAGATGCTGATAGCTGTGGGCAGGAAGGATCTGAAGGAATCTGTCTCCTGAAGAAAATCAACAATCAAAGCTTATCTGAATCTGATTCCCGATAGCCCGGAATGGGCCGACTATCAAATTTCTCCTGGGTCATGGGTAACCAAGGACAAAAGCTTCATCTGATGTCGGGGGATGATCCTGGTTTTCTTGTTGTCACAAGTCACATTTCAGAGTCAGAGTTTTTTTATTGTCATTCGCACCTCATGTGGTACATGTGGTGGAGCGAAATTATGTACACAGGGTCCCAGTTACATCCAACAGTAAAATGTATAAGAAAAACAGTAATAACATCTAAGATATGAACTAAGAAAAAAATCAACTAAATATACACTAAGCACTCATAACATAAAACATTGAACATCAGCACAAACATGAACATGAGTCTGTGTGAGCAGATGTGCACGCATGAACACATCAACACTGAAACAGATCAGCAGCAACATGAAACAGATCAGCAGCAACATGAAA